CCTTCATCACCACCATCACCACCACTATGATCATCTCCACCATCACCACCACCATCATCACCATCACCATCTCCACCATCATCACCATCACCACCATCTCCACCATCACCACCACCATCAGCACCACCACCATCATCACCATCACCACCATCTCCACCATCACCACCATCTCCATTATCACAATCACCACCACTACCACTGTCATTGTTACAATCACTGGTAAATCCTATCTTCACTGCCACCATAGCAATAGCAGCTGCCACCATAGGGGGAAAGCAGTTTTGCAGAATAAACAGAGAGTTGTGTCTTATTTGCCACTGGCATGCAGGGTGGTTGAGCAGAGGGCACAGCCTGGGAGAGAGGGTACGGAAGGAGTGCACAGGGAAAGAGCCCTGGTCTGGGGCTCTGGGTTGAGCTCACTCACAACTGCTTGTGGGGCCTTGGAAAGTTCCACCTCTGTGAAAGTGAGGGCATCCTTCTCCCTGAGGAAGAGGGCTCTGATGGGGGCCCAGGAGTCTGCCAAGTTCCTGTATAACCTTGTGGCACTATGGAGACCCCCAGGTCCTCCTCTGATGCCCACCCCGCTAGACCCGCTGGATGCAGCACAGCACACCGACAAAAGCACAGAGGTGGAAAGGAAGGGGTAACTGGGACCCAGGGACCTGGGCGGCCCTGGCTTCCCTCGTTGTCTCCTACATGTATCTAATAAGCTGCTTAGAAGCCCCGGTCCCAACATCTCCCACAGGGATGGGCCAGAAAAGCCCGTTCCATGAAAGAGCGGGCAAAGGCACTGGCAGAGAAAATTGGTAAAACTCTTGCTGACATAGGAACAGGCAACGACTTCCACGAACAGAACCCTAACTGCACAAGACGTAAAATCAGCCATCAACGCGTGGGGTCATAGCAAATGAAAATGTTTCTCCACCACCAAGGAAACAACCAACCGAATAAAAAGACAACCACAGAAAGGGAAAAATGTTCTACAAGCTACTCCACAGACACATAATATCTAGGACAGGACTCCACAGGTCTAATGTCTAGAATATATAAAGAACTCAAAAAAATTAGACCGCCAAAAATAAAAGACCCAGTCAAAAAGTGGGCAGTCGAGATGAGTAGATGCTTCTCCGAAGTACAGCTGGCCAATAAAGACACAAAAACATCTGCAGCACCTCTGGCCGTTAGAGAAACACACATTAAATCAACACTGAGATTCCACCTCACTCCCATGATCGGCCATTGTCAAGGACCCAAAAAGCTACAATTGCTGACGACGTTAGGGGGAAAAGAAGCCGACACTGTCGTTGGGAATGGGTTCCATCCCAGCACAGCCACACTGCAAAGAAGCATAGCGAGCTCTCAAAAAACTGAAAACAGAAACTCCACTCGAAGCAGCTCGACAGCTCCTGGTATCTTCCCTAAAGACGGAAAGACCTCACGTTGCAGCGGTACAAGCCCTGCCATGTTTGTAGCAGCACAGCTCACAGCAGCTCCGTCACGGAAGTGCATATTTGCCCATCAGCAGATGAATGGATAAAGAAAATGTTCTCTTTCTATTTATTTATTGTATTTATTTATTTTTGAGACAGGGTCTCACTCGAGTAGTTAGGCTGACCTTGAACTCACTATGTAGTGGAGGCGAGCCTCAAATTTGCGGTGATTTTCCTGCCTCAGCCTCCCAAGTGCTGGGATTACAGGCATGTGCCACCACTCCCAGCAAGATAATGTGCTATTTATGCACAACGAAATATTACTCAGGGATAAAAGCAGGATAAATTTGAGTCATGAAATGGGAGGACCTTGAGACCCTAACGGTAGGCGAAATAAGTCAGTCACAAAAGGTTAACTATTGCATGGTCTCTCTGAAAGACCCAAAATATAAACAATTTAAAGTGCAGACTAAAGAGCCACGGGAAGGAGCCGGGAGGCAGAGGTGGGAAGGGATCTCGGGAGGGTGATAACTGATCCGGATTTGGTGCGTCTATGAATCAACCCCCTCCCCAGCCACGTGCAATCACTATGCATCACAAACGTGTACTGATAAAAGAAAGAGTGGGAAAAAGGTGATGGGACAATAGTACTCTTCTGGATTCTCTTCTTACTTGAGCTTAATACTGGGGCATAGCCACCCTCCACCCAGGGTTTCTGCAGGAAGAGGGTTGAATGGAATTCCCTATAGCGCAACCACCCCTCCGCCAGAGCTGTAAGACTGAACCAGCCCCACCTAACATTAACCGACCAAAGATGGCAACAGTGTAAGCTGAAAGGAGTTCACACTAAGCCATGGCATGAGTATGCTTCTGAAATCTACAGACAAGGGAGAACTCTTGAAAGCAGACAGGGGACTCCAGTGAAGGCAGAAGTTTGATCTGGAGCCACAAAGCACACAAGGGGTGGGCACGCCTTTCTCCAAGAGCAGAAGGGAACACTTGGGTGAAGATTCTCTCCACAGCAAGTGGAGAGAATGGATGGGGTGAAGGGGAAATTTAGACCCTGTCAGGTGACGGAAAGCTGAGAGAATTTGTTGCTGGCAAAGCTGCTCTTAGAAGTACCGTGACCGTTAACCTTGTAATTTTGATTGGCCTAGAGCTGACTAGTTTGGCCCACTGATGAGCTCAGAGCTGAAGGGATAATGAGGAGGTGGAGGGACGGGGTTGGGGGTGTTACCTGGGGACCACACCTGGCCCCTGGCCCTTCCTCTCCGTCTCTGCTTCCTGGCTGCCCTGAGGTGAGCACCTGTCCCTGCCCACACCCTACCGCCACGATGTTGCAACACACATCTCCAAGCAATGGAGCCAGCTGGCCATGGATGTATCAGTCAGGGTTTACTAGAGGAACAGATATAATACAAGATAAACAAATGTACAAAGAATTACAAGCTTCACTTACAATGGTCAGCTAGAGCTGGATGAGGAAGTGTGCAGAGGGTGTCTGCAAGCTGGAGATTGAAGAGCCCAGCCCCGGGCTTGGAACTCGCTGCAGTGTCTGTGCAAGTCCGTATCAAAAGGCTGATGGGTCTGCAACGGAATGCTGAAGAATCTATGATGAAGGCCGGAGAGCCAACACCAGTAAGCTGAAGAGTCCAGACGGAAGCCCAACAGTCTGCACCAGAAGCCAGGAGATGACCAAGCTGAAGGCGAAGACCGGAGCTCCTCTGAAGAACCAGCAGCCAGTCCTTCCTCACTTCCTTTTTTTATGCCGTCTACCCGCTCTGGGGAGGTGGGGGTCATCCTCCACACCCACACCCTCTGCATGCCTGCCTCTTGCACAGGCTCAGGATGAATACAAAGTAAGCACCCTGGACCCCTTCTGAGTTGCATAGTTAACCTTCTAAACTTCTCAAATTAACACAATAAACAACATCCCAGAAGGGTAAGGACGGTGTCCTTTTCACCCCAAGAGGCAGAACTGCTGAGTCACTTAGCCAAACCTCTAGACTCCCCAAGTTGACACACTGTATCAACTATAACAATGGACTAAAGCTTCCGAAGCCATGATCCCAAACAAACTTCCCTCCTTGTAACTGTTTTTCTGGGCATTCGGTCACAGCTGATTAACACAAGGTCTTAGAACTCAGAAAATAGAGGTAGACCTAGCAGACTGTTTTTGAGTTTCTTAAGTCAAACTTGGTGGTTGAAGAAAAATTCTTAGACCATCTGATGTGCTTAACGTACACATAGGAAATAGGACGGTGTTGGTTTTAAAGAGGAGGATAAAGGGCTTTACACTGTACTCGAAATGGTAAAATGTCACCCCACACAATATGATGTCATCTATACCTATGCACATATGTTGGTGGGGTACCTAGGGACATCCCCCCCAAACCCCTATAAAGCAACATGACTAAATCAAGGTAGAATCCTAAAAAAGTATTCATGACCTGTGAGAAGGTAAGGAAAGAGAAATAGGACGCAAACAGAAAACAATAAAAAAGGCTTAATCCACGATGTATCATTTCCTTAATCACTTTAGACACATAATTAAAACAGAGATTGCAAATGGAATTAAAAAATGACCCAACTACATTCTACCTTCAAACCACACAGGGGCACGTCAAACAAAACACAGGTTAAAGGGCAAATGATATAAAGAACTTGCAAAGTAAGTTCAGCCCACAGTACCACCTAATCCTAGATAAACGGGTATGTTTCCTGCAGGCTCAATTTCTGCCACAAAATGCTTTGTTTTTTATTTTTCCTTCACCCTTTCCATCTTCCTTCCCCCCAATCTCTTGACATCCTCCTTCTCCTGTGGATCTTTCCGTTTTCATCTGCATATAAAACAACAGATTCCTCCGCACGTGCAACAACAGATTCCTCCGCACGTGCACACACAAATGTGTCTGCTACTGATGCCTGGGAAACTATCATTGTTTTCATTCATCACTCCGTAAGAACTTCTCTTAGTCTCCACTTCGCTTCCCATAATACACCTTGGTTCACAAGCTTAATTTGGTCCACAGTTTTGGAAAAGACAGCCACGTTTGTTTCAGGAAAGATGGCGGTGGTAGTGTTTTTCACCAGATGCAGAGTTTGCAAACAAAAAACTTTACCAAACACTTTTTTGGGGGAGTCAAATTATTTGCAAACAAAGATGTTTGTAAACCAAGACACCACTATATTTTGGGAGAATTCCACCAAATCCACATAGGAAAATTCTCTTTATGCATAAATTATTCACCTGTTGTTTCACTGATAGCCATTAACTTTGTTTCCTGGGCTTTGCCCTCAAACAAAGATGCTATAAACTGCCCAGTGGAGGAGTTGGGGCCAATCTGCTCCCGGCTGCCAGGGACAGTGGTTCCATCCCAGGCACTGCCTGACCGTGTGAAAGCCCATCCCTGGGGCCCTCAGCAGGGACCACAGGGGCAGGGTAGCCACCTGCCCAGGCTTCCTCGGGAGAAAGGGCAGAGTGGGGACAGGGACACATAACAGACCCACCCACCACCCAGGGCAGAAGCTCTGCAGCTGCCTCCGAGGAAGAACCAAGCCAGACATGGCCACGGGATCCACCACTTTGTCTTTTATTGAGCATCCTGCTGAAGGAAACCTGGGGTCAACCCCGCCCCAGGGACCCCCACCCCGGGTGCGGCGCCCCTTAGAAGCACCTCCTCTGGACCACAGATGCCCCAAACTCCTTGAAGTCGGCGGCAGTGACCCACATCTGCTTGAAGCTGCTCAAAGAGGTCACGATGGAGGCCCCGATCCACGTAGAGAACCAGCGGTCAGGCGGTGCGGTAATCTTGATGGGGATCCCTTTGAGTGCCAGGGGCTCCAGCTCCCTCAGCAGCCGGTCATCCAGCCCCTGGAACAGCGTGGTGCCCCCCGACAGCACGATCTCCCCGAAGAGCGTCTTCTGGATGTCAGCATCGCACTTGGTGATGCTGCCGGACACCATCTTGGCCAGCCCCGGGCTCTGGTTGCCCACCTGCTCGGGTGAGAACAGGATCTCGGGGGCCTGGAACAGCTGGTCCCCGAAGTAGATGATATTGCCATCAGGCAGCTTGTACTCCCGCAGGACGTCCTCCGGCCGCCGGCACAGCTCCTTCTCAGGCTCCGAGGCCACGTAGCAGAGCTTCTCTTTGATGTCATCCACCAGGGCTTTGTCCAGCAGGCAGGGGAAGGTCCGTCCACCAGCCAGGAGCAGCCGGGTGAGCTGCTCCGTGATGTCCTTGCCTGCCACGTACAGCTTGGCCACAGCGTGGGGCAGGGAGTAGCCTTCAAAGATAGGGACGGTGCAGGTGACCCCCTCCCCGCTGTCCACCACCAGGCCCGTGACGCAGGCCGAGGCGTACAGCGCCAGCACCGCCTGGTCTGACAGGTAGAAGGCAGGCACGCTGAAGCTCTCGAACATCACCTGCGCCGTCTTCTCGCGGTTCTCCCTGGGGTTCAGGGAGGGCTCGGTCACCAGTACCGGGTGCTCGCTCGGCTTCACGCCCAGCTCCCACTCAAATAGGTGCTGCCACAGTCTCTCCATATCGTCCCAGCCCACGATCAGGCCCCGCTCGATGGGCATTTGCAGGTGCAGCGCCTCCTGCCTGAACAGAGCCTCGTCTCCCACGAGGTATGTCTTCTGGTGGGGCTCCACCAGGGACGGCTTGACCTTCAGGTGCCCCACGACAGAGCTGAGGACGTGGCGCGGCCCGATCTCCCCCGATAGCCCTGCTTTGCAGAGCCCAGAGCCATTGTCAAAGATCACAGCCGGGGAGTTCAGGCTCGACATGCCTGCCGTGTTCCCTTCAGGGCCACTGAGATGAAAGCGAGCCCCTCCTGGCTGCCTATGTCACAATGGGCTCCTCCAGAAGGCAAAGGTCATGAGATTCCGCAGTGCCCAGCGCCTTCCTGCAGGGCTGGCAGGTGGCCCCAGGTCCAGCAACCTGTCCGCCTTCCACACACCCTGCACAGCCTTCTCCACCTGTAGCTCAGGCAGGGGGGCTTCCAGGGCTGGCGGTCCCCGAGGTAACAATCCAGCCAGGCCAGTGGTTATCCTCAGTGCCCAGATGTGGGGCACTGAGCCCCCAGGGGGGTGGCAGGCAGGCCTGGGTCTGCCCTCTCCCTTTGCCCAGACAATGAACCAAGCATGGGGTTGGTGGAGCAATGGCCATCACCCCAGAGCAGCAAGCACCCAGAATTTCCTTTTGGATGCAGATGCCTCCAGGAAGGTCTTAGGGATCTCCCCGCTCTCTGTCCAGTTGGCTCTTGCTCTGTGTCCCGCAGATAGATAGACGCTAAGAAAGTCCCCACCTGGTGAACCTGTGTCCAGGTTCCCCTGGTCTGTTCTGGCCCAGGCCAGGCCCCCCCCATCTCTCCAGACAGGGACTGGGAAATGGAGAGGGCAGAGTCAGGGCTGAGGCCTGGAGCACTCGCCAGGCCCTGCCGCCTGGTGCCCGGCAGAGGAGGGCGTGGGAGGGGACCTGCGGACTCAACTGGCTCTGCTCCTTGGGGTGGAGGTGGCCTTGGAGAACCAGGCTCTCCTGCGCCTTCCTTCTGCCCTCTCCAAAGTCCTTTCACGCCCCCTCCTGCCCACCTGCAGAGAACTCTGGGGCTCACATCCCTCAGAGTCCCCAGGCTCCTAATCTACACCCCGCTGACCCTTTGAACTACCAGCAGGCTGAGCAAGACAAACGCCACAGGCAGTGGCGCAGACATGCTATGTAGACACATATCAGTGTAGACACCTGGCACAGTGTGCAGTGTAGACATATGGTGTAGACTTGTGACACGGACTGAGGGTGTAGACTCATGAGGAAGGCATTAACAGGTAGCTCTGGGCCACCTCTGCCCCAGCGGCATCAGTAACACCTTGATCATCATTGGAGGCTTTTCTTCAAAGGACACCAAGGAGACCCACTCAAAGCTTGCATTCACATGGACCAAGGCCCTGCCTCGCCTGTCAGCTGGGTCCTCATGCCTGGCTGGGTTGTTGCCCAGGGACTCTGGAGTAGCTGCTCCTCAGATCCAGAGCTCCCAAGACCCCGAGGGGACCGGGCGCTGTGATGACTTGTGGTCACCCACAGCAGGGCAGAGGGGAGGGAGGAGCTGGAGGCCCCTGCTGAGGGGCTGAAAGCATCCCGGGGCATGGGCTGCTCTCAGTGGAGCCCATCACAGCAGCATGGTAGACACAGCGTTCCCCTCCCTGAGCTCTGTCTACCTAACCCTCCCTAACCCTTTTGAATGTCCCTCATGCACCACCCTCTCTCGCTGTGTGGCTGGGCTTTGGGGCTGGCACTTTGGGCATGTCGGGCTGGTTGTGGTGGGGACAGTGTCCGGGGATTCCAGCCAGCTCCTATGGTAATGCCCGTGTGGGCAGCTCTCAGGTGCTGCTAGAACTTTCTCCCATCATCTAACCTTCAGGGGGCTGCAGCAGGTGCGCCCACTGGAAGCTTCTAATTCGGCCGCAACATGGCCGGCAGTGGAGAAGTAGGCCAGGTGCACAGGGCTCTGGGTCAGGGTCCAGGAGGAATTCTGCTGTCTCTGGTCTGCACACACTTGGGGATCTGTCGGGGACAGAGGCGTGACACTGGACTGTGGAACATGGATGGCCTTGGTCCACAGGGGGAGTTGCGGTTCTGTGGCCCCCGCTGCCCCAACAACACAGGATGGAGCATCCTGGGGGCCACGCGTCCCGCAAGGACACAGTGAGTAGTCTGCCCTGCGTCTCTGCACCTGGGCCTGGCTTCCTCCGTGGCCTCTAAGGGGCTGGGCCATTTCCACCTCTGGGCAGGTGTTCCCAGTCTTCTCCCGGCCAGAGGCCCGAGGACACGGTGGGAAGGCGCCCAAGTACTTCTGGCCCTTGTCTCAAGTGTTCCCAAATGCTTTTCCTCTCCTGCTCCCTGCTGAGCCGGGCAGGCACTGTCCTATGCTGGTGTCTATTCCCCCGGACCCTGCCACCTCCGGCCCATCCTGACACCCGGAGGCAACCCCCTTTCCTCCTCCTCCACCTGGAAAAACAGCTCGAAGCCAGGAATGGGCCCGAGGGGACTCGTGGACACGGGGATGGGGCGGGTCCTGGCCCTTGTTTCTGGGATTGCTGAGTGCAGAGGCTCCAGTCCAGGCCCCACCAGAGCCAGCACCCGTGCCTCCTGAGTGTCCAGTTGGGCTGACGATTGTCCCTCTGGTCTGAAGACCAAGCACTAAGGAGCCGTGGACTTTCCTCTGGGTGTTAGCACGAGGCCCTGAGAAGGCCAAGGGGGTTTGCGAGCCACAGGGCAGCCTATATGACGGCATGCTGCTTGGAGCTTCCCCTGAGGCAGAAACAGCCTGGACCTCCAAGCCTCCTGGGCCCCTGCAAGTCCTCGACGGGAGCCCGGTGTTTCCTCCCCCACCCCTGCTTTCCAAGGCAGGAAGCATGGACCTGAGGGCTCAGGGGCCCAGGTGTGCTGGGGTGCAACGCTTGGGCCGACAGACACACTCGACGGCTGCTAGACCCAGTCAGAGGCACAGGCACAGGAAAGAGGACCTTCCTCTCCTCTCCCGCCTCCAATTAGAAGCCGCCTGCATCTGCCGCCCCCACCTCGAGCCACCAAGCCTCATAAATCGCTTGAACGCGTTTATGTGGGCGAGTGACTGTAACTCCATCCTGTGGCGGTCGGGCACCATGGGCCTCGGGGGCGGGCTCACTTCCGTCCTCTCCAGGAAAGTGCGTATTAATTTCCGCTCCAGTGATCATGGCCACCGCCCTCTCCTATTCCCGCAGAGAAGCCCGGGTCCTGGGGAGCTGCCCGGTGTTTAGACCTGGAATTGGTGGCCCTGGCCTGCTGGATGCCTTTGCTGCCCACTGGCCTGGTTTGGGGTACCTGGGTTCCCAGTCCCTAACCCTGGTTCCAGGCTGGACTGCCCATCCCATATCTCTGGTTCCATTTATCACTGGTACCCAGAGCCTCTGCCAATTAATGACCAGAAGATTGAGTCTGTAAGTGCTGGCCGACATCTGGTGGCCAGATCCTCTCACAGAGGGCCTGGCTGGAGCACCAGCAGCCCGGAGGAACAGGGTGGCCCTTTGGGTGTCAGATGGCTCTTGCACCTTGCTATGCCAGGCACCCAAAGAGGAGCCCAAGCCCTGGGCAGCTTAGCCCTTTTGAGTCTGTGAGATGAAATTTGTACCATCCATCCATCAACCCTTCCATCCACTCTTCCACACACCCATTCATCCACCTATCCTTCCATCTGCCCATCCACTCATTCATCCACTCATCTCCCATCCACCCTTCCACCCATCCACCCATCCACCCATCCACCCATCCATCCACCCTTCCATCCACCATTTAGTCAATCTACCTTCCATCTAGATCTATCCATCCACACATCCTTCTATCTGCCCATCATCCTCCACCCACCCATCCATCAACTCATCTATCTACTCATTCAAATATCTATCTTTGACCCACCCACTCATGCATCCATCCATCTACTCATCTACCCATCTGTCCATCAGCCATCTGTCCTGCCCTCCTTTCCTATCTTCCTCTCTCTTCTTTTTATTCACCTTTCTAACCATATATCCACCCATCCAAATATCCATCCAACCATATCCATCTTTCTATCCATTCTTCTTTCCCTTCCCTCCTCTCCCCTTCTCTCCTCTCCCCTTCCCTCCCACCTCTGGGAGCTGAACTGATCATCCCCCTCGCGATGCCCACCTCCCTCCTTGGTAACCTCCAGGTTTTGCAGAGTCCATGGGTCCCCGCATTTCCAGCCCAGGACCCAAGAGCCCTCTCTGTTCTGATGTTGCTTCTCAACCAGTGTGGCTGGAGATGACAGAGGACTTCTGGGGGTGACTGTGCCTCCTACTGCTTCATCCCTAGGGGATTCAGGGCCCTGACGGTCCAGGGTCCCCATCACATGGACAGGCAAGGATAGGACCCAAGGGCACTCAACCTCCTCTGGGTGCAGCTGGACTCAGGAGAACCTGATACCTGGCCCCCGCTCCCCTCTGAATTCCCATCCAGGAGTTATGGGTTGGTGCCTGGGCCAGTTGTCCCCTTCCATTCGTGTTGGGGTCAGCGGACCCTCACGGTAGGCCATGGTGGGGCATGTGGGCCTCTCCAGACAGATGGTGAACCCCACAGGGCCCCACTGCATGGAAGAGGAAGATGGGGCTCTCCCAGGACAGGTGTGGCTGGAGCCCTAAGCCTGATGTTTGGAGGTCCCAGGTTCTGATGCCAACAAGATGCTCTGTGATTGGGTGCAGCCACCAGGGTGGGCCAGGCCCAGGACCCACGCCCACATCCTTGCTGTGCAGCTCAGAGTGGGTGAGCACAGTGCCACTTGGTGGTCCAGAGCCCCAGTGGCTGCCACGGGGGGCTGGAGCACCTGTCTTGGTCAGCTAGGTCACCCCAACAAAATCCCACAAATGGGTGAGCCTTGCCCCATGGGTGTTTATTTTTCAGTCGGGAGGCTGAGGTTGGAGATGAGGCACTGGCACGGCTAAGTACTGGTGAGGACCATCTTCCCACTGTGCTCATGAGGGCATTGATGGAATGCCAGAGTTGGAGTGGAGAGCAAGTGTCCCAACCAGAACCATCCTGGGCCTCGGTTTCCCCTGCTGTCAGTAGGGACATCCTCGTCTGCCCGTGCCAGGCACCACAGGGTCAGGAAGGCAAATGTACTGGCTTTCGGGGAGTGCCCCCCAGCACAGGAAGGCTGGTAGGCTCCCCTAGCTGGGCTTAGCAGCTCCCGGGCCCCTGAGAACCCTCTCTCCCCGTGTAAACCACTACTGCTACTTAATTCTAACGCTTCAAGATTTTACGTCCTAACCTAAGATCTCAAACAAGACTTCCCCCTGGCTCCTGTATCAAGGGAGAAGGCTCAGGGCTCCCTG